GAAGACCAAGTGGTAGAACACATACAAGAGATACTATGACCATAATTGATGTTCTGAAATTAATATTTAAAAGAATATTTATTCTTAGTTCTATAAATAAGTATTTCTGATTAAAATGGTACAATTTAAGTGCATACCTTAACATATCACTTTGGTTAATATTAAACATTTTTGATATAATCTGTGGGCCAAGATCACCAACCACCACAAAATATGCAATACATGTTCCCATTAGGAACCCAATAATTCCAACTTCAACTGCCATCTTTCCCGCTGGACCAAACACATGAAATGCTGTAAAACATAAAACAAGTGACATTATATGTTATTTAAGACCTTAGTTCAAACTAACCCTCAGAGGACCTAAAAGATTAATTAAAGATTTTATTTTGGGCCAACTTACAGGTGCTCACTTTAAAAATAATAATATAAAGTACAGTGCAGTGCACAGTATAATGGTGACTTAAATGACTTCTATAATAATTACGTTTTCTACACTTACCAAGAAACTCATAATTTCTTCTCCGTGTAATAATTGCGGCTTTTAAAAGAAAATAACAGCAAAGTCTCGATACTAAACCCATAGACATCAAAATTAAAGCTGCTAAAAGTGCACCACACTAAAACAAAAGGGTTTCATCTTATTTTAAGATTGAAAGACAAAAATATAATAAATACGTAAACATTTTTTTTTGAAGTAAGCGTGATTATAAAATGTAAGATACACAAATTTACTTACTTGTTGAAAACAAAAAGGCATGGCCAATATGCCTACTCCAATAATACTATTAGCTAATGTTACAGACTGGCCTGTAGTTCCCATTGTGATAAATTTTAACACACTATTAATTGAATTAAAATAGTAAGAGATTTTTCAAAATACATCCCGTTGTATTATTTTACAATGAAAAATAACAACAATTTAATTTTTTTATTGTTGTGACATTTTAAGAAGGATGTTTTCGATAGATACGTGGGGATTTCCGGTTTTTAGACTGACAATTGACATTAGTCATCAGTCATTACAACTCATGGACATGAAGGCTCGTTCTGTTCTACGCAGTCCAAGAAATTTCCTCAAAAGTTTAAGTGTGCGATAGATGTTGTGCGTTCAAATTGCGACGGTTCGCCAATGAACACTTGCTTGTACAGTGAAGGTATTAGGTAACATGCCAGGCAGAGAAGCCGGTTCATCTACTTGTCTACAAAAAAGAAACTTATGAAAGAAACAAATACAATCAATACTTTATTTATTTTAAAAATTAACTTACTTTTAGTGTTAAGAATTAGATACCCAACAATTAAAATCTATTTCAAAGTTTAATCTACATCAAAAGTTAACCGAAGTAACTTTTGAAATTAAAACAGAATGGTTCTATCATCAAACCACTACATTTAATTACTATACCACTACAATATATAATAGAAGGAGAGCCCACGATACTAAATGGGGATTTACTCAAGTGTCATAGAGACCATGTCATATTGGGATGCGAAACTTAGTCTATAATTATAAGAAAAAAATGTTACATAATGTATACCTTTTCATCGGTGGGGGGAGCGGCTATTGACTTTCAAAAATGTAAAAAAAAACTGTGTCCATGACATACTCGAGCGCGCCAGATATTGATAGCATTCATGTCCTCGTATTTTTAATAATGTACTAAAAAGATAAGAAATGAAAATTATTTTTGGAATCACTTAACTAAATTAGTCGTAGTAAACGTACACCAGAATCCCTGTACAATAATAATTGCGGGGTCCCTAGTTTCCTTGCAAAATACAATACCTTTAATAAAAGGGTGCGTGTACTTACCTATGTACGCGCGTAAGAACTATACTTCTTTGGCATTATTAAAATAGTTTTTGATTGCATGCTATTTGCATTAATTACAATTAAATAATCAAAGACTGGAAAAGGAGTCATTATAGTCAATAAAGTTCAGTTTACATTTGAAAAATTAAATAAATAATTATTTATTATTATTCTCTTACATTAAGAGTAAAATAAATTCTATTATTATTCGAATGTTGTTTTTAAATCATGTCCAATGCCGTGGGCAACTTCATTCTGTTAATTTTGTGTCACGGTGCGCGCGCATCGTAAAATTTCACTCTCATCAATTTTTCATAACGCGCCTAAAGAAGTATAACTTCAAAAATATTCTTTATAATAAATAAAAAAATAATGTTTCAGGAAAATGTCATGAAATTCTGCGAATTCAAAAATTAGTGAACTAATATCACAACGAGAACAGCTTATTCAAGGAGATGAACCAGATGAGACTGAATTAAAACATCTGAACCACGAAATACGAAATATGCTTATTAATTGTGCCACTTAATTTATATTTAGGTTATTTTACTTCCTCTTTTAGATTCCTGGTCTCTTAAAACTTTAATAGACGATGAAATATAAGATATGTCGAGAAAATCTATCATACTGTTATGATACCAATTAACATATAAATTAATCGAAAGAAACTTCGTTCCATCCGGGTGTCCCTTGACACCTCTCAAGTTTAAAAAAAAAACTAATACAGGCATCACGCAGCCACACGTAATAAGCTTAATCGACGAATTCTTCTGACTTCGGCACGTGGAAATCGTCAGATTATATATTTTTCTTCATCCTTGAATTGTTTCCTTCAAAATAAAAAAATAATCAGCCACGCTCGAGAATGTCGAGATGATGTTGATTTTTTTACAACTTGCAGCCCTCCCCTTTCTTTACGTTACTTGCAATTTGTCAGATTAGTAAAATATACACTTCTTAGCTTGTAATTAACTCACCTTACCTTAATCTGACGCGCTCGAGAGTCTGATGATTTTTTTTTTACTTATCTGATCCTTTATCCTTGACGGGCGGCCGTATATATTATATATGGGTCTCATATTAGGTAGAGGTACTTAACCAGGTGCAAGGTATCCCCCTGTATATTAATCTGTCACGCTATAGTAAATCCCAAAATCCTCTCTTGGGCTCCCCTACTATAATGGTCATATAAGTGTAGTATCAGAGCATAAAAAATATCAATGTAATAGATAATATAATATGTAACATACAACTATCTTATGATATGTGTATGTATTTGTTTTAACAACTTCATAGTTCAGTAAGTCACATGCTTGACTGAATGCGTGTTCCCGAAGAGCTTAGCTATAATAAGCCTGTTATAGACTTTCTGATAATCAGTATGTATAGTTAATGTTTCGATATCCTGGGACATTAAAAAAAAAGATGGGTTTAAAATCAGTATAATTTTAATATTTGGTAATTTAAATTACATTTACTAATTCTATTACAACTATCTTTGGGAATTTTGGCCAGTGCTCAAGTATACCAATATGTATTCAATTAAATAACTCACTGATATATCTACTATGATATAAACAATAAATTTTTACCTTCCACATTTACTTTGGTAGTTTTAAAACTTCTTTGGCTAAAACTATTTTTGAATAACTGGCAAGAATTTAATAAAAAGCTGCACCCATGTGCCATCTAATTAGGCTATTATTTTACTATATGTGGATGTTATTCACTGATTCACGTGAAAACTACTTAACTGAATTAAATGTAATCAGAATAACACTTCTGCTAAACATAAAAGCAAACAAGTCTGTAGGCAGTTGCTAATTCTTAATATCTAAATACATGTTATATCTATTTAACACACAGAAAACTGAATTTTATTACAACACTGAAATTATGTTACTAGGAAAATATGATTAGGGTATACCAATAGTAAATAGTTCTTTCGTTCTTTAAATCGTCTTCATGTAAAATTATAGTACTTCTCATAACAAAATGTAGTCAAAACAAAAAAAAAATACATTACCTTGCCCATTAAAATTGGATTGATTTAACATAGTAAATAAAATTAAGATATATAATCCAATAGATAGGTAAAATAAATTTTCATATAACAATTTAAACATTCAAAACCTTACTCATTTTGGATGTAAATATATTTAATTATTTTTAATCAAGCAAAACTAAACATAATGGCACTGGTTTTGCACTATATAAAAAATGTCAACAAGTGATTGATTAAAAAGTGGCATAACAAAATAATATTTTAAAACAATACACTAATCACTTTATAAATAAATGGATATAATGGCACATCATTCAAGTAATCATTGTAACATCAAAAAAACATTGCCTGTCATAAAACTTGAAGATAAATATTATTACTTTTATTTTTGGTTCACAGCTTAACAAATAAATCAATTCTTTTATAAATCACCCATAACAAAAACCCTTTATTTATTATAATAATATGTATGAATAAATTATTTTGCAAGAATATGGTAAAAATATTATTCTGCCACATATGTCTTTTAAAGATTTAATGTTTGTCTGAACACTTATGTTATCATGATACATAAAAAAACTTAGACTGAAAAGGACTACCATTTAAGTTTTTTAAAGTATTTTAAGCTTATAAAACTGGGTTTTTGTTACATATTGTAAAAATTCAATTCTTATTGCTAAATATAATTTATACTTTATTATTAGTTTTAAATACAATTTATTATTAGCTTACATAATAATATAGTAATACAAATATGATAGGATGATTTAGTATGAATTGTAACACACACACAACCATTTATTCATGAACCTGATAAAAGGTACAATTTTATTGCTATAGGCAGAATCCTTACTCCTAAGACTCATCATGATACAAAACATCAGTGCACAACATTTCTAAGGAACTATTGCTGCTATAAAGTCGATTATAAGTCACCAAGTTGCCTCATTATAAGCCAACTATTAAAAATGTATGCTTGGTTTCCTGCCAAACTATACAGTAGCTTACCTTTTAAAACTAAATTTTGGTGATGTCCATAAATAAAAATAATAGTAGTGGCAGTCTTTTCTTACAAATAAAATATCAGAAAACAATTAATTTTTAAATCGACATTGGTGTAATAATACATTATGATTAAATAATACCAAAGGGACTTACTTAATTAAATTATGATTTTCATTAATTACGTTTTTTCTCGTCTGTCAATAATTCCAGAATTTGTTCTGTGGTTTTGTTGTCTTTCTTTAATTTCTCCATTTGTTCCGATGGCACAGTCCCTTCCAATAACATTTCTATATTTATCTTTAGGCGATTAAATGAAGTCAAGTTTTTATCCTTGCATGGCTTGTAGCGCATAGCTTCCAAAGATTCCACAAGTAGGTCATCAATTAGTCGCTTGTTGAAACCTGTTACAGAATTTAGAATTAAAAAGATGCTGTATTTTAAATTGAAAAAAAATATCAGTTTAACAATTGCCTTAAAAGCACCAACACCTAGAATTGCAGGCATTTCAACTATCTATACGGATCTGATAACCGCCAAAACCACATTGAACCTGATTCCACCACCACCTTTGAGCTTACAACAATATTAAAGAAACATGAAGCTTCTTTGCTGCAGAATTCCTTCACCATCCAACACCAATTAATAACAAATTAAAAACACACTCACTCAACCTAAATCATCTGGCGTTTCTTCTTCATCCTGGTTGTAATACAATCCCTAAAATAAAACTGTGGAATTGAAGCATGTAATGTAAGTGCTAATGGACACTCAATTTAAGCACACAACAACACACTCACACATTTGCAACCCTTCAGGAAATCTGCTGTTATGGTATACTTTGTGTATATTTTTAATGACCTAATGTAACTGATGTACTGTGCATAATTGTTAAAATAACATCATGTTCTAATTCAATGAATTCATTAATGGTAGAATGTACCCATTGAAGTATTTTAGGTATTTATACTGAAAAATAAATTTATTTTAATGTAAATGAAACAATCTATGATTCCTGTTACTCGCAGACACACAGGAAGCTCTTTCCACGATAACTCAAAAGACAGTGCAACAAGTTTTGTGTAACAATTAATAAAAACTATACAAAATATACCCACCTAAAATCTTTAGTTTCTCTTTGGTGGCAATCATAGTGAGTAGCAAGGCAAGAAGAAACCTCATACGAGACAGCTGAGCAGGAGACTCCCCATTTAGATCTTCTTTCTCAACTGCTTCTAAGCCTTTTTTGGTTTTAATACAAGATTTTAAATGTTCTTCTAATCCAACCTTGAGCTTAAAGAACTGCTTACAATTCTGACACCTATATGGATCTTCCTTTCCGTGGATCTTACACATGTGAGCCTTCATGTGTGGCAATTGTGAGAAGGATATAGGACACATTGCACAACTGAAAGGTTTTTCACCTGTGTGTCGACGAATATGGAGCATCAATGCATTGGAGTGTGAAAAAGGGCGTTGACAGATTCTACATGTATAAGGACGAACACCAGTGTGTGACCTACGATGCACTGTCAGCTGTGTGGATTGTGTGAAACGCTGTCCACAATCAGGGCACTCATGGGGACGATTTTTATCATGGGTACGCATGTGTTCAGATAAATGACCTTTTAAATATTTCTTACATATTTTACATTGAAGTCTGTGACCAGAATGACAGACTTGAACATGACGTCTCACTGAATTCATCCTCAAGAATTCCTTTCCACAATGCTGGCACACAAAATCTTTAACTTTCAAATGAGACCTATAATGAAATGTTAATCTGTTTCTACAATCAAAAGCTGTTTCACAGATAATACATAAATATTTTCCATCAACTAAGTGCTGCTTTTCATGATCGATTAATAAATATTGGTCTGCAAATTTTTCTTTACAATATATGCACTTAAACATTTTTTCATTACGACTATGACTAGCCAAGTGTAGTTTTAAATTTGATTTTAGCAAATATGGTCTATCACAAATGTTACACATAAAGTGTTTCTCCCAATTTGGATGTTGCCTCTTTGTATGCGCTGCTAAATAAAGATGGTTACTAAAATATTTCTTACACTGCGGACAAGAATATGATGTTACTTTATCATGAAGAAAGAGATGTCGCCTTATTGATGCTCTAGTATTGAATTCTTTATTGCAATAATCACATATAAACAGCTGTCCATTAGTAAAAATTGTGGTATTTTTATAATTAATATTCTTAGCTATTTTTTTAAATTTATTGGATGAAGTAGTGACTTCAGTGTCTTTTTCAATTTTATTATTATCCACACATACAATTTCTTCTGATGTTCTGTCTTTTTGGGCATTCAATACCTGAATGTCATTGTTGTTGTTAAATCGTGTTTTTCTTACCTCGCTTCTTAATGAGCGGTTGTTGTCTTCAATTTGTAATTCAGATTTTAAAATTTTGTCAAATATTTTTATATCAATTTTATTTTTGTGTCGAATATGGCCACTTTTAGACAGCAATTTTTTTAAATTTGTTGTATTACCCACTTTCTTGTCTTTATTATCAGAATTTGGTGTTATTTCAGGTAGAACTTCAATATCTTTTCTTCTTAGTTGTCGTTTCAAGGCATCTTTCCCTGTCACATTTTGAACATTAATTATTGACTTTTTTGGTCTGCCGACCTTTCCCTTCCCATTAATTTTTGTAGATGCAGTTTTAGTAGTATTAACTCTACTCTTTACATTAGCCATAATGAGGATCTAGCGCAAGTTATCACCCATTAGTAATTACATTATTTGCGTTACCTGATAAAATTGTGATAAGAATGCAGTAAGAAGCAAGGACCCTCCACCAGTAAAGATATAGCTTAAATTAGTATGTACACGTCGTTGGCGAAACGATTATAAACTAGATGTGCTCACTGCGTACTTACATGCACTGTTTTAGTTACTTCGTAATCACCTCTAACAAAACCGATCTGTAACCGTGCATAGATAACGATGTTCTAATGTGTGAAGGACAAAACTTCAGCCTTTTGTCTTAAATTTATGCAACGATTACCTTATTTCATATTCTTGCGTTCAAGCAATTGTTTAAAACACCTTGATATACATCGCTGAACCTTGAATTGAGTTTCGATTATGTCAATCACAATCTGATCTCGTGCGATCAAGAACATATTATTACTATTTTTTAAAGGTAGTAGGTACCTTTTAATTTCAAAGCATGTTGTTCATAATCACATATTTTTATATTAGAGCTATGCCGTGTAATGGTTTGTAAATGTAAAATATGTGGTTTTACTTAGATCGATAATGTTTAATAGAAAGAGATAAAATAACAATAACTTCAGTCTTAAATAAAACACTACTCGGCACACCACTGTACGTCTGTACTTCAGTGATCAGTCTCCTCAACCACAGACTAAACAAATTTTCATCGTTTATTGTAATTATTCGTAACTGCTTGCATATTATCGTCATTGGTGTCAATACTCATTACTGACAAATAACAATTATTTGAAATTATACGAAAACAGAAAACATTTAAAGTTTTATCTTTTTGTATCAGTAGGTAGAGTGCAATATAATATGATTTGTAACTGCTATTTATAGTTTAAGTACTTATCTTATACAATATATTTGCTAGTTTTTAGGCAAAGTAAACATTTAGTAGTGCAGACTATGACCTATGTATGGGATAATTATGTCTGAGCCATCCTTTGTTATCATAACACGTGACAATTCTTTAAAATATAGTATTATTAGTATTTATAAAGTAAATCTGTTATTTCCTATCCACGAGTGTCCGGAATAAGGATTTAGCACTTAGCAGCCAGTAGTAAGAATAGGGGTTAACTGCTAACTATGCTCCATGGGTTAAAATAGTGTAAAGTTAGTGTCAATCAAAGCAGATCTGAAATTTTAGACGGGTTAGATTGTTGATAGTGGGTAAGTTAACCTGGCGGAACTGAAACTTTACAAACTTTAACTATTAGCTTATCGAAATTCTCCATAATTATGTTCTAATTGCGCGATCTTCAGAAGTCAATACCTATGGAAATTACTTTTATTTCATTATTTTAAATAATTATGAATATTAAAATACCCAACGAAGGTCTTCTCATAATATTTTCACATTCTATTACATACACATAGGAAAAACGTCAGTAATTCGTGGGTAAGTGGCTTCACATAAACGTGACGTTTTGATGCTTTCCCCATTGTGACCACAGACAATGGATACTTGCACCACGGACACTAGTGTAAGTGAGTTTGCACAATTTAAACGACATATTATTTCCTCACAATCTTCCTGTATTCATAAAAAATATTTTAATGCTCGGAATTACCAAATCTAGGTGCAACATGATCTTTGCTTACGGTTTTTAAAAATGTTGGAGTGTGATGATACCTATGCATATCAAGTATTAATTCAGTTATTATGTTATCAAAAACAGCTCTTCTGAATTTGATTTTCAAAAGAAATATTTTTTACAGATTTTCATAAGTACATTAAGCTACCTACATTAATAAATTATGTTATTTTTAAAAATACAATTGCAACTCATGATATAAAGAGAAAGCGTTAAACTTTTGTGTTTTCAATTAGTTACGATTTTATACAATTATTTCAGTTAAACTTGACTATGTACTTAATATTAACGTCGAGATTATTATTATTTTTTGATATGTAAAAAATATCAAAAATATATTCCATTGTTAAAAAACCTGCATATATTATACAGTCAATGTGTGTTGTATCAAATACTAATTTATATATTAAGTATAACAGTTTACTTCGCCGGTGCAGTGGCATGGGAAATTAATTATAGAAGGTGTAAAATAAATTTGAATCTGAGATAGAGAATGATACTCTTCAATTAGACTTTAACAAAAATATTTCATACTAAAATGTGGATGATTCAATTTGTGTTCGAGTCGTATATTTTAGAGATCTGAAACTAAAAAAAATTACCAATAGGGGTTCTGTCTATCTTTCAAATAGCAATTATTTGAATTTAACCAGATTTAATCAATCCAGATTTAACATTTCATAAAAATATTTTTCCAATTTATCATGGAATTGTGAAACGTAATTACTCCACGGCAATTTAGGTAGATAATGACAATGTATTTGTAAATTAATGTTTCGTAATAAGCTGTGTAACCGTGCATTTTATTGTATTTTTTTATCACAACATGATATAATATTTCTTTTGGTTTCAACAGTTTCGTAACCATCTAAGATTGTCTAAAAATTAATAAAGGTTTAAAGAGTTCATAAATCGTTTTATAAATCCGTAATTGTAAATTATAATAATAAAAGGCCTTTATAGCTTCCGAATAGATATTAAGGAAACATCGAGTAGGATTGTGTTTTAAGAAGTCTGAAGTATGTCGGAAGAGGATTAATCGTATTTGGAACAAACGCCATGTTTTGGTTGGTCATGTCTTATTCGGAAGAAGATTCGCTCAGGATTAACTTTCGAGACTTGCTGCCCGCTTCTGCATCTGTTGTTCTGGATAAATTGGTGCTCTTATGGAAAATAGCAAATTGTGTCTAATAAAAAAAATACTAACACAATTTGCTATTTACACATGAAGGGGTCATCTCACATACAAAAAGTAATAATTAAATATAGTATGTGATCTAGTGCATCTCAATGCAACCACGACGTAATTGCCAGCCAGCTTCATCCGCGACATGATTTGAACACAAAATGGCATTATAATAGATTTAGCTGTTTGGGCATCTTTTTTTGTTTAGGCGTGAAAGTCTAAACTCATTAGTTTTTAAATAATAATAAGGGTATTCATCTCTAGACAAAAAAACTAATTAAATCAAGCCTAAAATCCGATATTTTTTACTATCTATGGTACCGATAAATGTTTGTGAACCCTGTTTTTTTAATTAGAAAAAATATGATTTGTTTTATAGATAGAACATAGACACCAACTTTGGATTACATACAAGATAAGGCTTCAAAATTGGAGTGTATTGAACCCATTGTGTTCATACTGACCCAATTTTCACATAATTACGTCACACTCTAGTTAAAACGAATGAAATTTGTCGTCGAGATGTTTTTACATTATCTTGCTTGTGCGATGAAGATCACAATTAGAAAATGATGAAATCAGCTTTATGTGTAAAGAAAGTTTTTAAACTCGCCTTATTGTGCTTTCCAAACAATAATTTTTTTCTTGGGTTTCGAATGTCTGATTTTCGTATAATAAGGAAACATTGATCCTAACTTATACTAGTATTTTAAAAAGCATTACTGAAGAACTATTAGGACTCGTTGATTATAGACAATTATTAAATATTAAGTCTCGACTCTGAATTTTGCCTTGCGTTGCTAGGAATCGTGAAGAGGCGGCATATCTTATACCATATAAAATCGACGCTGTGACAAAGGTTGATCACCTACTTGTCTACACAGAAATTTATCAATAAAAAAATATGTTTATTATGGAACATAAGATACAGGTATCATTTATTCCACGTCATTAAATTTGAATAGGTAGACATCCCTACTCCTCGGCAAAGAAGACAGAGGGTAAAAGTCTCGGTACTCTTTTAAAATAGTGAATCAGCAAACAACATTTATTTTAAAACAAATATCGCAAATTAATTATTGCTAAAAGGCAGAGATAAAAGAGCCTCTGGGATTTTAGTAACGAGAAGAGTATCCCTTTTCCCAAAAAATAATTACTAACTTTAGATAGTCTAGTACGGGGAAACTGAAAAAAAATATGGAAAGAAGAAAATGAAACTTGTAATAGTGTCGGTATCACGTTGAATGCAATGAAATACTATAAAAATACACCTTCTTACTGTTTATTTAGGGCCTCGGATTTCTGTACGTCTTTGATCATTTCTAATTATCACTATATATAGATATAATATCCCTGATCAACCTTCTGCGCCTGACACACACTGTACTTTTTGAGTTCGTACCGTACGAGCCAGTGTTAAAACGTACATGGACAGAAAGTCCATTGGTGCCCAGCCGGGGATTGAACCTACGACCCCACGACTGCAGATTGGTAAACTATTTTTAGTCTATTCGTTCTTAATAACGCTTTAATCATCTATCGTGTGTAGAACTTGTTCTTTCTGCTCTGATTACCATAGTGTACCCACCTCAAAGTATATCCTAAAGTCACTTCACCATTCTAGAAGACCATGGGCGGGGATTATTTCCCATTCGTTGCGCGGTATTGTCTCCTTATTCTTTCATTCGGTCTTGCGTCGAAAGGAAGCCAGTTTTACGCGCTAAATTCATACCATTGTTTATTAACCATCTAGGCCAGTAGGCACCACTATTGGGAACTATTACATGTCTATCATCTGTGAGAATGGTGAAATTTTGGTGGATATTAATATTTTTCACTGAAGCGTTAAGCAGTGATAATAAACTGCCCGGAGTTGAGGCAGATAAAGGTACGTTAAATTATATTCTAGTAACTGGCGCCCTCTATTTTTCAAAATTCTTCCTATCATGTAAATCGTTCATCAAGCAATTAATAAAATCTATAACTTTCTAGATAATTTCAGTGCCATACCACAATTTTCCGTCTGTTTTCATGTTCTCCCTTACTTCTCTCATTTGCATCATTATGTAGATATTTGTGTATCACAGATAGGTTTAGGAAGTGTTGATAAATATAAATTCCTACTGAAAATACAATATTTTCAATTATTATTCGAATTTAAGATATAAGAAATTGCTTATTCTAAATATGTAGATTCTAATAATTTAAATAGGTACATGTTAAGCAAAACTTACTTGACCTTGTTATTGAGATAATATCTGTAAGATGATGTATTTAGTTTATTGGAATTTGGCCATTTTAAAAATTAAAAAGAAGAACCAAATGCGAAATGTAATTTTTCAGTATTTTTTTCACAGCAAATAATGTTTTGCTTTCTCTATAATATCGCAGTCTATATAGTTATTTTTACCCATAGAGAAAAATGATAATTATTAACTAAATATTAAATGCGCTCTTATTCTCACGCTTTTACTTGTAAGACGTTCTCGTTTTTTTACATAATAATTTATATCTTTCTCAATATTTTAGGTAATAGGTATGTTTCGTCTCGTAAATGACTTATGATTTTATTTCCCCTTCATGTAAGTAGTATGTTTCTTATAAAATCTTAAGTTGAACACAATGATTGAAACAGCTTAATTAATTGATGGGAACCAAAATGATATTACCCTCCCTAGATAATTTATATTAACGTGCGTTACTCCTCTACGGTGACATGTAGGTACTTATATGTATTCTAAAAACCCCTAATAATAAAAATACATTATTACGTCTGTGCCCTTTGAAAAAAAATGTATCAATGAAAATGTATTTAAAAAAAACTGATACATTTAAACCCTACGAAACAATTTGCCACAAGAAAAAATAATTTGACTGTTGCGCACGTAATTTTTAATTAAAACTTGTTACAAGCCGTTTTAAAGCTATTTACTATCATGCAATAATTATAACAAATTATATTTATCACGTAACATATATCTTAACTCTCTTTTCACGCTACTAGCCACTAAACAATGGAAGTGAAAAGAAATTGTAGGTTTGTTATGGAAATTGAACGCGCATTTACTTTCTGTCTGTGGTGTTTATCTCATTCAATGTTTACAAAGAAAAACCCTTTTTTTTAGCTTGTTGAGAAGCCATTAAGCTGTTATTTATAGGCATAGGCTCGAAGTGTGTGGATAGGCCGTGCCTACCTCAGAATGGTCTAGTGTCATTATTGGATATCAATGCTCATCCAATTAAAAGGGAATTGCTGTTTAAAGAAAAAAATGGGTACCAATGTCGCCAGTTTGATTCTATTTAGTACACCGTACCCACAAATGTTAAAGGTGCCCATAGAAAGAAAAATCCATTACTACACAGCCGTGATTCGAACACATGATCCGAGGGTTCACAGTTTACAAGCCTCTAAACACAACGCTGCTGTGATATTGAGTACCTATGATTGTTACATAATATGGCACACGATTTCTTAATTCTTTGTGAATCTCCTTTGTTTACCCAACCAAAACAAAAATCGAAAAGTAATGCCCGCCTTCCACTACGAGCGGAACGGACCCATTACGGACTCCGCTATACTTGTAACGATGATTTTCATACATTTTCATTTCCGTGGGAAACTCGGTCAACTCGCTAACCTCATATGTGACTCTTTCAACTCGCTCTCTCCGCTGCGCTCGTCTACGCTTTGATGGAAGCACATGTATGAAAATCATCGTTACGAGTATAGCGGAGTCCGTAATGGGTCCGTTCCGCTCGCAGTGGAAGGCGGGCATAACTGTGCTAAAGAATTAAATATTAATTTCCAGTGTAAATGAATTCCTTTATTCAATATCGATGTTTAAAACCTAATCATTGTTTTTTTTCAGAATTGCGCTATTTACCTCTCTTCGAGAAACATTATGATGACCGCCCAGCCCCAAACGGCCACCTGCCACCCTTAACTACTGTTCCCATTGCCGGCGAAAGATGCTCGTCGAAGTTAGAATCTGCACTAGATCAAATAAAAAGACGAAAGAGAAATCAACCAAAAACCTTGGATACACCTTTGGTAATCTTTTTTATTAGATTCAACTAAATATACACTTAAATGAAATATAATTTATATATTTTTTTCTTTTATTATTACAGAGTCAAAGCATAGACCTTGATGGATACAGTTTATACCAGACAATGAGGAGCGCTCCAATTGATATGATCGTTACAAGAATGCGAGTTCGACTACCACAAAATAGCAACTGGGTGAGAGTAGAAAAATGCTATTTCGACCCTCGCAACGTTTCTTTGGACACGATGCTTTTGTTCCACGACATTACAATATCTGGAAACGTGGATTTGTACGACACCAACGAACTCGATCGCAGCATGGTTCCATCCAGAAGAACACGAAGACATTATGCTGATTCCCCATATTATTCCGATTCCAACAGATTTCGTAATAATGGATGTAACATGATATTGAGACTGCGCAAAGCTGGTATCGGCTTCCACACTCGCCCACTGCACCAACAACAAGGAAGATTTAACGTCAAAACTGATTCAGAATTCGTTGAACCAGGTTTCATTAGCGTCTATGCTTACGGCTGCGAAAAGTACATAAACAAAAATTCAATAAGGAACAAAGAAAATTTACCCTTAAAGCGAAGACGGCGGTCTGATGAATTCACATTCAATAGCCGCCTCGAAACTCCTCAAGAAGACTTAGTTAGTAAAGCATCAGAGAACTATGATATATTATACGAACCGAGAACTGGAAGAATGGGCTATGAGAGAAGCAGAGCATTTCAGCCAGATGATAATTTAGATGACACCGAAGATATTTCGAGGGAAATGGAGGATATTTTTACAAAGGGTATTAGGACTCTATTAACAACATATATGAAGAAAGAATTGCAACCTGCTATCAAAGATACACTAATGAGAAATATGGGTTATGTTATTTCTTATGGTTAAGTTACTTTGTAATAGATATGTATGCAAAACAATGTTATAAACTTCAAATTATTTTATTTAACAAACAAAAATTATTTCATCAAAATTCACTAACAAATACTACAACTATCACAGTCCTTATTTTCTATACTAAATGCTGTAAATTAAATAAGTGATGAGTACCTTGCTTTTTGGTAATTGCTAAGGAAAAAAAGTTACACACAGATCATATCAGATCATTTATATAATGACTGGGTTTCTTATTTGAGCTATAAAATTGTTCTACTACCAATATCATTTATGCATCTGTAAGATAAAATGTTTAATTTCATCATAAACTGTGAAGTGCAAAGCAGTAACAACAATAGCTTTTACCAAACTAGGTCCATAACCTTTATATAAAGCCAAGACCCCCTCTTCATTTATAGTCAGCATAATACACTGTAATGATCCACTACAATACATTTGCCGGCCAAAAGCCTTTCTATGCTGTTGAAATCCTTGTATTTGCAGTCTTTTCTTTATAACATCAAAGGGATAGACACATGTCTTAGAAACAAGCCCAGCTATACTACCAGCTATTACATTTGCAATAATTGTAGTTTCAATAACGGACCCAATAGCTTTCCTTCTTTGAAAGAAACTAAGTCTATTAAAAATACTTTCAGTAAATAACTTATACATACAAAACTGAATACCAGCATATGGTGCTATTTGCGCTATTGTAGGTACTATACCTTTAAATAATGAGCTGGCACCTTCATGCCTTATCATTGTTAATAAAGTGTCACTGAAACCTTTATATACTTTATTTATTTTTTGTTCAGCTACTAGCCTTGTTCTAATTGTGTCAAATGGATAGGATAGTATGGTTGCAAATGTAGCTGCCACGGCACCATTAGAGAAATTTAAATAATTTTGATTATTTATATAAAATTGAGGGTCACTTCTTTGGAAGGTTTGCGTAAGTCTTTCGTATGTTGAAAATTGTACAACACCAAATGAAATAGATAGCAATTGCGCGGGTATGTGGCCACTCCATAAGGTTGATACTCCTTCTTCTCTAGCTATGGATGAAATAGCTTGTAATAGGGAACTATACTTGGATCCATTCTGAATAGGTTCTAACTGTAATTGAAATCGTATTTTAAGGACATCTAGAGGTTGTGCTATCGCTCTAGTCACCGAGCTAGCTATTCCACCTGCAATTGCGCTTTGAGCTATAGTTACTTTTCTCTCAGAGTTTTGGGTATAGTACACCATAATATATGTATTATTTAACTAAAGTATATTGTACAATATACATAAAATTATATTAGACAATTAAATTAAAAATAAAATCAAGATGCACATGTTGAAATTTATCAACAAAAATCGCCACAAAGACAACTGACAAAAAATAGTTCAAACTTCAACTTCAATGTTTATACAAGTTAATAGTCAACCGTTAACGTCTGACATTAACAGTAGACAATTTCGTATTTGGATTTTGGATGTCCGATGTGGTAACTGGTAAGTGGTAACTGCCTACTGGTAGAACAGTGAACACACTTTGTAGAAAGAAAACAAATTATTAAAGAAATTGTTCTATAAATTGTACCAAATATATTTTCATCTAAAGAAGCGGTACATTATATACACAAAAATAACAATGTCTTCGCCATTGGAAAAGCTCGAAACGCAATTAGAAATGTTCATTGAAAATGTGAGACAAATACGTATAATTGTTAGTGATTTTCAGCCACAGGGACAAAGTGTCTTGAACCAGAAGATGTAAGTATTTAGTATATTTTAATTTGCCACAGTAGAAACATTCTTAATCGCATAATTAAGATATTGCACGTCTTAAGCCGATTTAATCATTTAGTCTGTTATGATGGTAGTTTTATACAGTATAAGTCCAGCTGTTTTTATGTGTTTTATGTATATTTTAGCCAATCTTTGGTCACGGGTCTACAAGAAGTGGACAAATTAAAATCTCAAGTACATGACATTCATGTACCAACTGAAGTCTTTGAGTGAGTAACAATTCCTGAAATTAAACAACAGACATGTTTTTCATATATGTAATAGCAAATTATGTTAATATAGTTTTCTATGAAATTTAGTTAGCACACTTATTGTGAATATTGGAAGATTCTCAGTTTAATTTAAAATACAATGATAACTATTTCGGAGTAGAAAGCTTAGACCTCCAGTCTGATAAAAAAATCAACATAAAAGATGCAAACTTGTTTATATAAAATAACATAAAAACTTATTATTTCAGCTACATTGATCAAGGACGTAATCCTCAACTCTACACAAAAGACTGCATTGATAAAGCATTAGCTAAAAACGAAGAAGTTAAGGGAAAAATTGATTCATACAAAAGATTCAAAAGCCATCTTCTTTCAGAGCTTTCTAAAACATTTCCCAATGAAATTGCTAAATATAAAGCTATCAGAGGTGGAGAATAAGTTTAATGTATTTTAAGATTAAGTCTATTTATATGCATACTACTGAATATTTTAAGGCCAATTATGCTAATTTAAATGTAAAGAAATAAAACACTTAATGAAAAAGCAATTTGGTTTATTACAATGCACTTTAAAATGAAAAACAACAACAGTTTATATAAATAGTAAAGAAAGATTTTCATGGAAATGAAACATAACTTAGGTTAAAATAGATTGAAAACACTTTTATAGATAAAAGCAGTTTCACGTGATAATAAAAAATATTGAAATATAGAAAAGTTACAATTTGGTAAACACAAATGCCCTTATTAAATAATAAATATTGGATATAAATCATTATTCTGTCTGTATTAGGTAAAATTTAAAATACAACTTAACATGGCATTACTCAGGGCATGTTTATTATAAAAAATATTATGTATATATTGAATGTGGCCTTTATATCATAAATAATAGAAAAATGTTTTATTACTGTACAATATCCTTTTAAATTTGCCACTAACAACTAAACTTTAATGTACCATATTCTCAAATGCTACTAATTCTTGTGGTGATGGCTGTTCTAATGCCTTTGTATCCAGAACAATCTGGGGTATACTTTGGCTATCTATGTTACTATCAGCTTGGGTATAAGCTGGTATTTCAATAACACTATCATCGTATACTGGCATTTTAATATCATGATTGCCGGATCCTGGCAGTCCAATTTCAGAATCACCAGATTCTGGCATTTCAATTTCATTATCGCCTGTTTCTGTTTCGTAAAGATTTTCAATATCACTAGTTCTTTCCCACATTTGATAAAATTCTTTTTTGACAGGTACTACAAGTTGTGATTTAGTTGTTATGTACACATAGTTCCAATTGTCAAAGGAACGGTCGTTACCCCAATTCAGAGTTCCTGTCATAAGAATTCTATCATCAACTAAGCAAAATTTGTGTTGCATTGTATATGCTGGGTCAGTAGCATTACATCTTACTTCAGCACCTGTAATCATATGATAAACATATTTTGTTACCTTCAATTATGAAAGCGTATAAAATAAACTGAGGATAATATAAATTATTACATTAATAAAACACTATTTTGATCGGATTGAAGTTATGTATTATTATAAATTTACAACTATTTAACATAATTTTAAATTTATCCGACGTTTCGCGTGCTTTACAGCGTGCGTGGTCACGGTGACCACGCACGCTGTGTTTTATTAAATGAATAAAAGTTATGTTAATCAAAGACAATGTTATTACATTAAGTTAAAATAAATTTTATGTTGGGATAGATGATATCCGGTAAGTAATAAACCAAAAGTAAGGCGTATTGGCGTGTAAATTTCTTTTATCTATTTTAGTAGTTTCATACTTACCACATTCGATAAGCTCTCGGATAAAAAAATCTGTCGATTCGTTATATCCTGTGCGGTCTATAATCATTCGAACTTTGATGTTTTTCTCCTTTAGCAGTGTAACCAGGCGCCCCTGAATGACTGGGTTGTGGATACCGGGCATGCAGACGTTAACACTTTTCTTTGCAGATTCAATGAAGCTTATCAGTTTATCAAAGTAATTGTATGCATTAAACTGTAGTTTACAAAATACCATAACTTCATTAACCTCTGCTTTACGGCTTTTGTAAAAATATGCAGCAGCTGATACAACACATGTTATTGCTATCGCGGCGGCCGACGACAGAACACGTGAAGTTATTCGCATTTTAAGTAATATCGAACATGTATTTAATTATTTTTAAGAATACACTAAGACCAGTCTTTAATTCTATACATCTAGATAAAATTAAGAGGTCAAAACGTGCCAGCGACTGAGGGAATATTTTTGTTCTACCCTCATTTTAAACAGTTTCAATAATAATATAATACTAGACTTTCAGAATTTATGTAAAATGTATAATATCAAATAATATTATATTTTAGCTCGAACTAATTATATTAATATAATTGATGCGATGCTTTAATTATATTAAAGTAAGTATATTTTTAATTAGTTTTTTAAATAACGCTTACTTGCAAATAGGTGATGTCAATGTGACTTAGAATTGGTGACATTGACATTTCATTTGATTATTAGAGGCGGGAATTCGCGAGGAGCAGAATTTAGATTTAAATACAATATTTTGGTTATTAGTGTTTTTATATGATGACTATATTTTGTAGTTTAATTAGTATTCTAAAATAATTAGTATAATAAACAAGTCAATATTTCAAAATGTGCTAAGTGTTAAGATTTAGGTAATGATAGGGTAATTAGACACAACCATATTTTTTTATAATAAAAATATAATGGGTATTACTGGCTTGATACCCTTTATTGAAAAGGCCTCCAGGAGGGCAAACGTTAGTGAATTCAGTGGATCTACTGTGGCTATCGATAGTTATTGTTGGCTACATAAAGGGGCTTTTGCCTGCGCTGATAAATTAGTACGTGGAGAAGAAACAGATATGTAAGTATAAGTAATAATTTAATATTATCATCAGATCAACAATACTGCATTACAAAACATCTTTATAAAATTACAGTAAATGTTAAAATCTTATACATTTTCAGGCATATACGTTACTGCTTAAAATATGTAACAATGTTACTATCGAGGAACATAAAACCAATATTAGTTTTTGATGGACGACATTTGCCAGCCAAAGCGATGACAGAATTAAAGAGAAGAGAGTGAGTATCATCACCAACTTCAGAATTTCTTAGAGTTTCAGTGCGCTCAATTTGGTATATACTTTTAACTTTATTTGTCTCAATGTTAATATGTAACCTCCTATAAATTTTTTAACTCGACCTAATACTTACTCTAAGTATAAATAAATGCTTTTTATATTACAGGTCAAGAGACATATCTAAGAAAAGGGCGGCAGAATTATTAAGTTTGGGAAAGGTACAATTTTATAGTATTTTAATAGTAGAAACATTCAAATTAAATACCATTTTTATTCATGCCACCCTGGAAAACATGTGTAATGTTACAACTTACAGTTGTTATAACTTCATGTACTTGGGATGCATGATGCTGTAATGTGAAGTAGACAAATATCTTACTTTCCTTATTTATAGAATACTAGAAGTTGTATGGTTAATAAGACTCTCCAACTAAAGTATAATCTACTTAACACACTATTACAAAATTTAACACCATAATTTTTTTATTTTCCATTTTTTCACACTTTATTACCATACAAATTACTGCACAATATTCAAACAAAAATAATGAAATGGCTATTAAGCTATCTCTTCCAGGCAAAATAAAAAGAATTGCAAAGAAGTGCACTTACGTTTTTGTACCATTATTGGGACCTATTGCTATATTACTCTGATGTTTTAGATTGACGAAGCTAGGAGTTACATACGTAGAAGTGTTGATATAACACATGCAATGGCTTTAAGTTTAATTAAGGAGTGTAGAAAACGGAATGTTGACTGTATTGTTGCTCCATATGAAGCAGATTCCCAATTGGCCTACCTCAATATTAAGAATATTGCACAACTAGTCATTACTGAAGATTCAGATTTGATATTGTTTGGTTGTACTAAAGTAAGTACAAGCAAATTTTGATTGATATTAATTATAATTTTGATTTTATTGTGACAAAAGAAAGGCTCATAGATAAAATATTATTCATACACCAAGGAACGTAATATCATCTCAACCGAGCCTATACACATGGTATAATTTAATGTTAACTGTATCTTATAATCAATAATACCACAGAACCAATTTGAAGACCATAGCCCAAGAAATGTTTTTAATTTAATAGCTATTCCAAAGTACATAGTAGGCAAAATTTAAAAATATATTTTTTAATTTATATTGGAAGTTAGAAGTACAAACTGCATAAATTTATTATTTCCATTGTTGAGTAGCCAAAATATTGAACTATAAAAATAATTGAAAAAAATTGTTTAAATGTGTTAAAAAGGTTTTATTTAATATGTTCATGTCATCTTAGCATTTATTTATTTATTTATAAGTAATATTACAGCTACATATCTCCATATTATAAAATCTCTTAGATAATATACAAAGCCAAAAAAAGATTACATTGACAAACAAAATATATGAAACAGAAAACATAAGTTTATGTATGTATGTGTTTATAATAAACCTTAATAGATAAAATAAAAAGTGTGTGCGTTCAAAGTACAAATGTCACAAGTGAAACTTCTTTGGCAAACAAATTTTTAGATCTTGTTCCTATTTGTACCAATGTAAAACTTTAGATTTCCGAGAGTTAGAGGGAGGAAAAAAAATATATGTTATAAATTTAATATTAAAATGAAGTGTCGAAAATTAATACAAATAATTTTTTTAATTTATTTCTTCGAATTATCGAAAACACGTGGCATTTTATATTACAATTCGTCATTTGAGATTTCAATAAATTATTTTGCATAAAATATAAAATACTAATATTTCATAAATTCTCTTTACGAAATTTTAATTTTAAAAATATAATTTCTATAAGGTAATTCACCCTTCTCACTCTCTCTCAATCGGTCTCAATCGCTCTCTCCCTTTTCTTCGAGAAAATTTTACCCTCATTACCTAAAGAAGTTTCATTTCAAACAGAAAACTGAAATTAAACATTAAACAAATGAAAACTTTTATAAAGAAAAGTCGAACTCTTCCTGCTTCTTAAAATATCTCCTCACATCCTCTTTGGTAACGTGGAAAATGTCTTTATAATTTGTGTCATAGTTAGCTAAAACCCGATATCCGAAACATGCACGATTGTTTCATAATTTTTAAATGATCTTGTATTGTAATAATTTAATTTCTGTTCACATTATATTATACAGAAAGTTGTATGGCAAATAAATAATTTCAGGTATTATTTAAAATGGATCTAGATGGAACGGGTACTCTAGTGGAAACAGCTAAGCTACCTTTAGTTATGAAATGCCCAATTGAGAAATACAGCTTTGACAAGTTTAGACAAATGTGTATTATGTCTGGGTGTGACTACCTTTCATCATTGCCCGGGATCGGTCTGGCTAAGGCCAGGCAATTTGTGACAGCGACACAGGATCCTAATTTTGCTAATGTAAGTAATTTTAAAAACTTTGTTACCTTAAGCAGGTATGTATAATAAAATTTTATAAATAGTTTTACATTTATAAATTATAATTTTAATACTTTATGTATGTCTTCTCTACTATACATACACATTTAGATTTGAGACAAAGAATGATTATGGATTGAAAATCCAAAACGACAAAAAAGTAATAAGTTTGTATTTCCTTCAAGAAAAGAGCGTTACACTTCTTAATAGGCCGGCAACGCACTCGCGAGCCCTCTGGCATTAAGAGTGTCCATGGGCGGCGGTATCACTTAACATCAGGTCAGCTTCTTCTTCTTCTTCTCTTTCTTAAAGTGAATTTCACTTCAACTGTGATAACTCTCGGTTAGATCCATATGCACCAACTACTATAGGGAGCGTAATTTTTCGAGATAATTGCGTGTAATGCGCCGTAACGTTTTTCTGTACCCAATAGTAAAACGTTTCGTGACCACCTAGTGACTCTTTATACCTAAAAGTTACCAATATGTGGTGCAATGTACTGGAAAGTCGAAAATTATATTAACAATAACGCGCAATTCAATCCCCGCCCCGCATCGTAAGGTTTTACAAAAGGGACCCCCCCCAATTCGTTACGTAATACTTGAACGCTCCCATAGACGAAGAGTGGAATTATAAAGTATTCTATCAAGAAACCGCTCACATAAAAAGTGTGACATGGAGAGAGAATTACATATAAAGCTCTCAGAGATAGTGGAAGCCTTAGTAAACGATAAAAATAACCTCAGAGAGCAGTATAGGCAAGTTCGCAGAGGCATAGTACCATGAGAGATAGAAGACGCTGATCTCATGAGATTGCGGACTCAGGAAGTCTTCTGGAACTGTATAACAAACACCTTTGGCCCTTACATAAAGTCATAGGAAGATTCGATTCCCATTCGAGATGTTGTCATTACCAACCACTGGCGCAGCTAGAACGCTGGAGAATAATGTAAAAATAGTTTTAATGTAACAAAGGGAAAAAGGAAACTTGGCCGCCCCGTAACAATCAAGTCAAGTCAAAATCATTTATTCATATTGTATAAGTGATTCCGCAGAAAAAACGCGATTAAAAAGAGTGGCGGAGAGTTTCGTGCCAGTTCTTCTTGCCCGCTTTACGCCCTTGACTTGCGAACTGGTAGTAAATGTAAATTTAGAATCAATTTTACATATTTTCTGTTGAAGTTCATAAGTACACTGGTTTTCCAATATGAATAAAGTTATTTTGAGATTTTGTAAGCGATATAGGAAAATAACAAATAAGGAATCAAAGCTAATACAATCGGCATTTACCTTTCAATTGCTTTACTTATTAGTAAATTCTTAATTACAGGCGTTAAGAAAACTGCCGAGTTTCTTCAACCGTTCCAATTTAGTTGTGACTGACGAATATAGGGAAAACTTTCTCAAAGCGGAAGCCACTTTCCGACATCAGTATGTGTACGATCCTATTGAGAGAAACATGTGTCGACTGGAAGACCCTGATGATGCAGGTAGAATATATTTTAACTGTTTTTTCAATTGTTTCTCGAGCATTTACTCATTATCCCTCAAAGGTCTTTATTCAAAGTGATTGGACTTTGATGAAAGCGCTGTACATCGGTTACCAACACATGGGTGCTGATTTATATTCATAACTGTAAAAACAGATAAAAAACGTGTATGTACTTATGTACACGCGTTAGAAGTACTTCTTTGGCGTAACAAGATAAAAATATTTTCAAAAATTGTATTCTATGTTTGTAGAAAAAACGACAATAACAATAGAAAAAAATAAAATGTTGATTATAGCTAACTTCAGGGTGTCGGTTTTTGTGACGGTGTGCGCGCGCATCGTAAAAATTTACTCTCATCATTTTTCCCTAACGCGCCAATAAAAGTATAACTTCAAAAATTTAATTTATATTATGATAAAACAATATTTGATGACAACGTACCAAATCCATACATTTTTCTATGTCTAAATTATTAAACTATTAAATAATAAAAAAACAAATCAAATAAATAAATTATGATTGTAAAAAGTAATAGAACAAATCTCAATTATTAACGAAAGCAACAATAAAAATCAACGGTCAATTGACTCGATCAGAGCATTCCCTGACATATGTATTTTATGTTCATTGTACTGCTATTTCAGATGTTGAATTAGCGTTATGTGTTAACGCGGGGGAACTATTAGATCCTAAAACGGCGTTTCAATTGGCTTTAGGAAATCTTGATCCATTCACCTTAAAGAAAATGGACGATTGGGACCCTGACAATCGTGATATAAGTGTGAGTATTATAAATAGAGAGTAGTGTTTGCATTCAGCGTGGGACTCTCATCCCTGAGGTCGTAGGTTCGATCCCCGGCTATGCCAATGGACTTTCTTTCTATGTGCGCATTTAATATTCGCTCGAACGGTGAAGGAATACATCGTGAGGAAACCGACTTGCCTGACACACAAAAAGTTGACGTGTGTCAGGCACACGACACCTGTTAGATTGACAAATGATCATAACATATGAAACAGATACAGAAATCTGAGGCCCAGACCTAAAAAAACATGGCGTTGTGTAAAAAAAACATGGCGATTAAAAAGAGTGGCGGAGAGTTTATTGCCAGTTCTTCTCTTCCGTTCTACGCCCTTGATTTGAGAACTGGCACTAAATGTAAAGATTTCATATACATTTCTTTTTTTGATGTTCATAAGTGTACATTGTGTCACCTATATGAATAAATGATTTTTGACTTTGACTTAAAAAAGTTGTAACGCAACTGGTTTTTTTTAAATAAAATATACAATTATTTCGGAATTGTAGTTAATAATTTTAATTGGGATTGTCGTACGAAGAGTTGGGAAGATCGTACGTTCGAACCATGTCTGTGCACAAATCAAAATATTATATGTGTTCTAACACTCGCTTATTAGCTATATTTTTTTTTAATATGAAGTATTTTATTAGAAAAAAATAAATCACAAAACAGACATAGGCCTGAGGTCAAGGCAGGGCTTTTTTTATTTGGATTGAACCTTTATTGTATTTACAGAAGGATATAAAAAGATCAAACTGGAAAGAGCAACCCGTGTCCTCTCATCCAAGTATATGGGATCCAGGTTTTCATAACTTTTTAAACCAAACTTGTCCCTGGAGGAAAGAAAAGGAATCTATTTTAAGCTTAATTGGACCTAGGAAGAAAGTTGTCAATTTAGTCACTAAGTTTGTACCTGAAACTCAAGACCAAGATGAAAGGTAATATTTTCAAAACATTTTGATTTAAAAAATAAAAACGTGTGTACTTATGCTTTGGCGTACTAATTTTCTTCGAGCACTCTTACCTCTTCGAATTGCATTTTTCTTGTCCATTTTAATGGTCACTTAATCGAAACCATATAATATGTACTAATCATGATATTTTACAATAAACACCATGTTTTTTATCACATTGGAACGGGTTTTCTCGGATAGAATTCATTATATTGGTTTGAATAAACACTACTCTGAAAAACACTACGCCATGACAGACAATGCAACTTGTCGATAAAACAGAGCAAGCGCCAACTAGCGGCCCTGACTGTTTTACTGACGTTTGAACAGATATTCAGGGTGTCGGGTTTTTGTGACGGTGTGCGCATGCATAGAAAAAGTTTACTCTCATCATTTTTCCCTAACGCGCCAAAAGATGGATAACTTCAAAAAACAAAGTTTGTTTATTTTCAATCTTTACAAATATTGAATACTGTTTAGATTTGTTTTATAACTTTTCTTGTTATCCTAATATACCAAATTTCTTCATACCATTGATCGGATTTGACGGCTCATTGGTCTAGTGGTTAGTACCCTGACTGCGAATCCATGGGTCCCGGGTTCGATCCCCGGCTGAGACGAACATCGACGTGATGAGCATTTGGTGTTGTGCTTAGGTCTTGGGTGTTTAAATATGTATTTATATGTCTATCTATATAATATGTATGTATATCCGTTGCCTAGCCTAGTACCCATAACACAAGCTTCACCAGCTTAGCATGGGACTAGGTCAATTGGTGTGAATTGTCCAATCATAAAAAAAGAACCCCTTTACGAGTATAGAACTCCAGCTTTTTCAAATATCTCTATCCATGGCTCTCTTTCTTCATTCGCTTCCTGCAAACGCTTCTTTTTTTAAGCCGACCTTTTCTGAATCTTCCATATGTGTCTTTAAGCCGACCTCTGTTATCATCAGAATCTTGTTATAAAATAAAAAGGAAAGAGAATAAAAAACAAGAAATACGTAAGACTTAGAATAATATTTTATTCATTTGCAAAGTGATATATTTACAGTGATATTTATACATTTGAGAGGTTTATTAAGGAAAAAAGTTTAATATATAACCGACTTTAAAAAAAAGTACTTACATATTGTTGGAATTTGATATTAAGGAATGATGATCCAATTAAGCATCAGCATATGTTTAATCATCATAAGTCCAGCGATTGTGCACGTATTTAACGGAAGCACTGAATTAAAGGAACTGTTCAAGTTTCATCAAAATCGTTTTAGTAGTTTTTGAGTTATAGACACGCATTTTCTGAGTGACATGTACAGTACCCGGCCATTTAGAAAGAGATACTCGGCTAGCTTCGGCTTCATATAGCGCCGTCTCTGTCTCCTAATAGATACCGGACTGTTAGTGTTTCGTGTGACAGAGAGGACGCTCTACAAAGCGAGTATCTCTTTCTAAAGCACGATGCGACTTATAAATGGCCGGGTACTGTACACTATTTGTAAATAATTGTTTTTGTTTTCTTTTTCAGCCTATCTATAGAGACCCTTAGTAATATGTATTGCATTGAACCAGCGAACAAAAAGCAAAGAGTAACAGATAGCCCAACACATGACACAGTTTTGACAGAAATAACATCAACGTCACCGATATTAGAAAACAAAGCGAGGTCGTTTAAAAAGCGGCTTTTAGCAAATAATTCCGTTTTGAAGAAACTGAGTCGGTTCCCAAGGACATTTCTAGACGATGACCTAATTGAAAGCAAGTTCTTTAAAAGTGATTCCCCTGGTTCAAATGAAAGTAATGAATGTTCCCCTGGCAAAAATTTGAACGAAAATAATAGTGTACAAACTGTGTGTGTGAAAAGTGGTTTAGTGATTTCCTCGGATAATAGTGACGATAGTGCTTTAGGTGATTCCGAACAATTGGAAAATTCACAAAAGGAAAATTCTCCAGTGAAAGTTCGGACTAGTCCCATATTACAAAGTCCAAGAAATCCCTTTAAGAAGCTGGTGCAGGATTCTCAAGACTCGGTCATTGATGCGGAGGATTTCATGCCGACTACCTCTCAGGTACCTACTTCCTAACATTATTTTACACTAGCTATTCTTCGCGGTTTCACCCGTTAATTTAAAACACAAATGTTATTTTGTTGCCGAATTTAAGACTATATCTTAAAATATTGAAATCAACTTATAAACAAGTAATTAATAGCATAATTTTTATGACATAAATAATTAAATTGTTTTTTAATTATATTTTAACATTTGTATGCTGATTGTGCATTTGTTCTTTGTAATTCAGTCGTCTTATATACTTTCATGGAAAATAAATAAATAATTTATTAAATATATTAAATTAGGATAAGAATATCATGTTTATAAATATTTTTAAGGTAAATATTCCGCATAGCGCTAACAGTGATTTTGAGGCTGATTTTTTTACAGTCGCGTTACGATCTGTAAACATCATAACTAGTATTGTGATGATGGCGCATTCCTTTTTTTCCTTTTGGCTAAAAAAACCAATTTTAAAAGTATCTGGAATTGATTCTCCTGTCTTCACACAAGCATAAGTGCTGTGGCCACCTATACTTATGGGGACAACGAAACCAATCACAAACAGAAACAAAGCATCATAGAGTCGTATACTACCAAAAAAAACTGTTTTTTGGACAGCTCCGGCGCTACGGGAAATGCAGCCTCTCCACCCTTGCGTACCAAAGCTCTTCCTCCGCGCCTTCGATTTTTTATATACACTCTAGAGATTAGGCATACAAGACCACGTGGGGTGCTGCGATTCGGTTTTGGGTACTTTTTGATGAGATTTATTTTTTTGGCAAAGAAGGTCATGCGCCATCATAGCAACAATAGTTATGGTGCTGAGAAGTCATAAAAAAAAATGAGCCTCAAAATCGCTGGTGGCGCGATACGGAAAATTATCCATTTTTAATTATCACAAAAAAGGAAAGCATTGAAAGATATATTTTTATGATTTCGAAGCTAATAAAATCGAATATCAATGAACAGGTACACTAATGTGTCTGTTTTATATAGGATATGTTGTTTATTTTTGTGTATTATTTCTATGATGAAATAAAGAAATATCGTATAACATCACATTTGTAATTCAATCGATTTTTTTTCAGATGCATCTGGTTGAATCCCCCCCAAAAGAAGCAAATCCGTTCAGTCAATTCTCCTACACGAGTACGCAAACAAATAAACAGACAAAGAAATCGACTTGCAGAGTTCCCGGCTTGAAGAAAACGGTGCCAAATAACCAGCCGACTTTGTTGAGTAAATTTGGATTCCAAAAAAAGTACGTAGGTCAATAATTATAACCTGCCTGTTATTAATATCGTTATAGAAATAACAAAAAAAAAAGTATTTTTATTTATTCTGTATTGAGTGTTCAGAGGGGTTGTTCGGATTAATACCTGTGTGAAGTATTTCTGAACCAATCGATTTAGGATTCTTTAAGAAAAGAGCGTACCAATTCTTAAAAGGCCGGCAACACACTTGCGAGCCTACTGACAATGTCAATGGGTGGCGGTTGGAAGTTATCAATTTTTGAGCCCCTTGCCTTGAATAAAAAAAACTATAATAACAATTACATTTTTTTTTCATCATTATCACGTGCTAAGGTGATTCACAAACAAAATGTTTGTCCTAATTACTAGAAAAAAATTCCTTCTTGAAATTAAATTATATATTTTTGTTTCAGACCAGTATTGCGGAGGTGAAGTGAAGAAATAAATTCATACAGTCATAGATGCGTCCAACTATGTTTTATTTCTAAAGTGTTCAGTATTATACAAACAATTATTTGTCAAAAAATTGAATTTATGATATGCAGAATGAAACATGACAATGAGTTTAAGATTAAAAATTATAATTATGTTTAAGTGGAGATTATGTTGTATTATTTAATGTTGTTTCTTACTCTTGACTGCATTTATTGTTGATTTTGTAAATAAAAAATATGACTAATCGACTTTTTTTACAAACCCTAAAGAATCCTTAGCATACAATATTAAAAAAACCGACATTAACTCAAACATCTGTATCTGTCTCATGTTTTTTATACAAATTATAACCACATTGGGTCCTCGATAATAGGTGCGGGCGGCGTGCACACATAATGTTTATAATTAATAAGTTCACAAAGATATATATACTGCTCAAAACAATTACGGGAACAAAACTTTAAAGTAGAACTAAACTTTTTACTTAAGGTTTTAATTATTACTTGCCACTAGATAATGTTAAGGCATTGTCGAAGAAATTAAAAAACAAAAGAGCATCGGCGTTTTGGTTAGTAGCCTATATTAAAGTGGCAGTTGTCTAGAAACACCTAAAAACAAAGTGACTCTTTGAATTTTCATTACTTTCTAATAACAAAAACACATTTTAAGTAGTTTTTTTCAATCTTTTGAGTATTAATAGAAATTGAAGTGAGCCTTTTGAGTATTGTTATTCATTGAAGCGAGCGAGTTTAGGTCATAATGAGATTGACTGAATTGCATGTCACGAGCTAGCTTTGCTTGAAGGGTCGAACTCTGCGTTATGTAGGAAAGATCTAGGAGTAGCCCCTTCTGTTATCTACAGACTTTGGAAGCGATACCGTGAGACGGGAGAATACTCACGAAGGCGTGGTCAAGGTCGAAAGAGAAAAACTACACGTTTGCAAGATCGCTACATCGTCAACTGTGCTTTACGTAACCGCACCAAACTCAAGAATCTACAAAATACACTAAGGACGGCTACTGGTTAAAATTTCCGACCAGAGGTAAGAAATATTTTGAACCAATTTGAGATCACGCGAATTGCTGGCGTCTAACAATTCAACATAGACAAGCTCCCGACATTCGCGCAAAATCACGCTAATTGGCAATTGACATTGAAGCCAGTGCTTTTTACTGACGAATCACGATTCCGTCTAACACGTTGCGATGTCTCTCGTGTTGACAGACGCCCAGGCGAGCGATACAGTGCAGCAGCAGTCCAGGAATATGACAAATTTATTCTCTTGATGTTTGGGCAGAGTTATTTGGAGAGAGCACAGATCTCTTTTTTCCCGGGGCTTGTGTCTCAAACTTACATTGAAAATTCTCGAAGATCATGTTTGCCCGCAGATATGGTACGGCCCAGATTTTCTTTTAATGCAAGATAATGCCAGGCCGCATACTGCAGCCATCACGTCAGATTACTTACGACAGCAGGAAATCCGTGTAATGGAGTGGCCTTCCATGAGCCCTGACCTAAATCCAATTGAACACTGGGACTGCTTGACAGGCGCATCCGGAAGCGTCCGATTGCACCTCAAACACTGCAGCAGCTCACTGAAGCGTTATTGAAGAATGGGAGCGAATTCCACAAGAGTTCGAGGATCATACGAAGATGCCGCGTCGTTGTCAAGCCGTGATTAGGGCTCATGGAGGCCACAAGTTACTGATCACTAAAGACGAATATTCAAACGATATAAGAATATTTCTTTGATGGACCTTTTTTATCACCAATTAGTTTTTCGTCTACAATGCACATTTTAATTTTTTTTAAATAAAAAAAATACAAATTGAATTTTTTTATTAATTGTAGTAATTAACAAATTAACAAGGTAAAAATAGCGTACAAGTTAATTTAAATCTAATTTTAGTTTAAGCAATAGAAAGGAGAAAAATCTTGTTCCGCTAATTGTTTTGAGCAGTATATTACAAAAGAATTACAAAAAACACTTAAATTATAAAGCATAGCAAAAGAACCTAAGAAAGTAATAAAATTTAAATCCTGTAATCGGATGGGTGATCCGAAAAAAGTATTTATCCAGCTCAAATAAAATCGAAAAGATAGTATCAATAAAGGGACTAATTTTAAAGATTTATTCTTGATACCACAGGGATTACGAAGGGTTATCAAAAATTACAAAATGTAACCTTTATTATCTTGACATTTCTTAATTAGATTGTCTGTGTTGATAGAGAATGCGTGTTTACGTGTTTTATTTATTGTACGTTATACAAATTATACTTTTCTTATCGTCTGTGCCTACTGTCGCCCTGCGATCGGCTGGCGATATCCTGGCAAGTGGCAACTTACGTATACCGTACAACTCGTAGCTCTAAAATAAACTAAAAAATAACTCACAACACATCTTATGTGAGTTAGGCTGGAGTTTTTATTTTGTCGGCCAATTGGTGGCGCTTTAGGTAGGAGGAAAAACACACCTTCCTTCCAGTGAGTTTAACTATACGATTTCATTCGCGAAAACTACTCGTTTTCCGAATAAATTAATTATTAATTAAATATAAATGCATATTCTAGAAATACATAACTGCAAAAAGAAATCATCAAAGGGTAAGTTAAAGTTCAATTTGACGTGTGTTCAACTCTCATCATTGAGCTAGTAGGTTCGAATCCCTACTGTGGACCAATGGACTTCTGTCTATGTGTAACACTCGACTCGTTGAAGGAAAACATCGTGAGGAAACCGACACGCCCTAAAAGGCGTGTGTCAGGACAGAAGTCTCATCATCTATTTGCCTATTTTAAAAAACCAAATGATCACAAAACAGATACAGAAATATGAGGTTCAGAGCCAAAAGGTTGTACTGTGAATGGAATATAAAGCAGAATGTAAATTTACCTACATTTGGTAAAACAAATAATGTCTGTTTCCAGTAAAATGAACATTTTAAAACGTGAAATATCACGGGACATTGATCGTAAAAACAAGTTTGTTTTTCTTTCGCCTATCGGCCCTCGATCAGAGCCGAATAATAAATCTTAATCAGATTGAAAAGCTGTTAGCGACTTTTTTCTCAATTTCGATTCGACATGATGTGATAAATGTGGAGTTAATGACATTTAAAGTGTTAATTATTGAACATTTTTAAGTCTTTACTGTTACTTTCCGTTTGTTGCCTGCCATTAAAATATGTATTAAAAATTAGTAGACAAAAGATAATATCGTTATAATAATCTTAATTCTAATAATTATACTGATAGAATGTGAGAATGTTTGCTGAAGCGCGTAATGACGATTTCATCAGTTGAAAAAGGCCGCGTGAATATGGTAGTATGGTGTTGTAATGTAAATAGGTAGGAGGGAGATATACTGCATAGGGGTGTCTAAATGTTGGATTAATAAAGCTGTACTAATTCCGTATTAGACTTAGACTTAAAGTCCTATGTCAAGTGGGGCAGAGGGCATCCAGCGTAGAAAACCAGTCTGTCGGTCCTGGGAGAGACGCCATTAATTTCACTCCATGTCATTGCAGCTTAATTCGCTTCTGCAATGATGCTTCGTTGCTAGGTCTGTTTCCTTTCCTTTTGCCTTAAGGATTCCAGTTGTGGGCTTGCTTGGCAATGTGACTTGGATCCAATCCCTCCTCTAAGAATACATTTCCAATTTCGGCGTTTTATAGACCTGTCAATTGGGCCTCTTAATACTATCCAAAATGTTGTAAAGATTGTCTCCAGGGCCTGAATATTCCAATGATTTGGCAGGAAGCGTTTTATCCCGTATTACATATACACAATTATACAATCAACTAATGACTGTGTTAACACGTAAGTTAATTAATTAATGGATTATTTTGGCAGTACATTCGACGCAGTCTCTTCAAGCAGGTAGTAGTTAGTAGCATAGCAACTAGTTTACAAGCATAACATTTTTATAACACACAAGGCATTACAATCTTTTCCAATCGTCAGACTTCAAATTTATTTTACGTGCTTAATAAAGATCAACGCCGCATGTATTGGGAATTATTGACACCATTCTTATTTCTAGGTTAAGGTGCCAAAGTATGACATACACTCATTCACTTAAACTATTATAATTTAATTCTTTCTAATGATATAGTTGGTACCTAAGTTCTGTAACTCGCACATTTTTTCTACATTTCGAACAGGATTCCATCAAACAATTTTTGCATTCTATTTTGGAATGTTTGATTATTGTTTTAAAACATACAAGATAAATTTCAGAAATTTTTCACGATGGAGTGCATATCTTAAAGTAAACCGAATAGTTGTTATTGAACGTTTAAACCTGTGCACTCGCCTAGTACAAATTTCAAGCTTGCTCAAAAATTTGAATATAACGCTTAGGCTTTGTGCATAGTACTGTTCATGGGCTACCTTGAAGCTTCAGTGTTGAGGACAAGAAAAGAACTGGCTGGCCAGCTCCGCAAGAACACCAGCAGTAATCAAAGCTATCAAGGCGCGGATAGTAAGAAATCCTGTCCGAAAACAGAAGTTGATGGATTTGCAGATGGGTGTCAGTAGGAAAACAGTAAAAAGGTTTTAAATGAAGATCTTGGTCTACGAGCATACAAAAAAGAGGTGGGCACTTACTTAATGCTCGTCTAAAAGCAATAAGGCTTAAGAGATCGCGGGTGTTGTTTCAGCGGTACGCGAAAAACCGACACCGTGATATCCTCTTTACGGACAAAATTTTTTCGATATTGAAGAAGATGTTCAATAAACAGAATTATACAGTGTACGCTAGGAGTTCTTAAGAAGCTGAAAATAAAGTTCCAAGGGTAGCAACATGGACATCATCCATCATCAGTAATGGTTTGGTTGGGAGTGTCCTATTACGGGCTAACTGAGGTTCATTTTTTCGAAAAGGGGGTCAAAACCAGTGCTACAGTGTACCAAGAGACGGTTTTGTATCTCCTTGTCAAAGACATGTCCAGCACCCTATTTGCGGGACATCACTTCGTGTTCCAGCAGGACT